GGTGAATTTTTCCACTTCATTCCAATGCATGGCTGGCACTGGGACCTCCTTCATGCAGAAGGCACAGCCTTGTCTGCAGGGTGGCATTTTACTGCACAACAGCCAGACGCAGAAGTGACCCCGTGCTCCCCACTCAGCTGACAAGTGGGGCAGAGGCGTGTCACAGAAGCGATGATTTCGCGCACTGAGAAGGGGGTCGGAAGGTTGCCACCTCTCCTTTTCAGCAGCATCTGGTAGACAATTTTCTGCCTAATATTGTCAATCATTCCCTTGTTCTTGAAGGTGCCTGGCTGTCCTCCCAGCTGGAGTGAGAACTTCAATGATCACTAGAAAGCAAAACAAATGCAAAGTTTACAAAGGGAGTGTGGAGAAGGCAGGTCCCCGAATAAAGAAGTTGGCAGGGGCTCAAATGCCTGGGATTATGAGGAAAGTGGAACACACACACAGTTAATGCACATGCTGGTTTAAATACCAGCGCTCAAACAAATACATTTGTTGCACATTAAAAAGTAAAAAGTGAATGACTCATTGATTAGCTTCTATTTGAAAAAAATGTGATTAAATGTGCAGTAAATGGAGGGTTTCTTTGTTTTGTATTACTGCTAGATTTTTTAAAGGCAAGAACTGAAGCATAGCATCAGTCTGGGAGGAAGCAGGAGCAGGGGGGACCTTGCCACTAGTGATAAAAAGCTGGCATTCATGGACAAGGGGAAAAATATTCAGATATTAAAGAAAATAACAAGAAATGTATTCTTTCATTGAAGGCACAGGCAAAAAGAGAGTAAAATAAAAACAAAAAAAAGGAGACCTAGCTGAGACAAGATTTGGGGTGGTCCAATAAAACGCCTGCTGTGATGCAGCCACCTGCTCCTATGAGGCAAACTAAAGCACACTAGTGCTTATTGGCTGTGCCTAGTGCTCATCCCTGCTGGAAGCTGCATTGCTGAGCGATGGTCCCTGGTGGAAGCAGTTCTGAGACCAGTGAGCAGGGAGGTTACAGAGTAGTGCCTTCTTCAGCATTACAGAAAAATCTCTGCTTTTTGAAGTACAAGGAACTTGTTCCCTTGATGTGATGTCAGGCAAGCTTTGCCTGCAGTCATGATCACAGTAGCAGCTGCTGAATAGAACAAAATGTCAAACAGATCAGTAAATAATTATATTAAAATTCGAGGAATACTTAACTGAACAATGGACTAAAGGAAATGTTTATGAAAAATATGTACCATAATACAACACCTGATGTTAATCAGCACAGAGTGGTTAAGGCAGTGCTAGAGAAAACCAGATTTTTTTTCTGTGGCTAGTGCAAAGAGCTGCCGAGTGGGTATACTGAAGGAAGTTAGACAATAATTATTCAAGATGAACTGAAAAGCTGTCAGTGTAATTCAATTTCACTTGCTCCAGAAGAACTTCTAGAGGGAGATAGATATGCTTATATGTACTTATCATTCAAATTGTCTCACATGTCTTTAGAGAGAAATTTCATTTTTGGAAGTATGAACTGATTGTTAAGGTTAGAGGCAAAGAAGCATCTGAAACATTTCTGCTGTGTTGGAGAGCTGTGTACACAAAGGGAGTGTGGATGTGCACATTAACTTTTAATAAGCTTAGAAATCATTGACATGCAAACAGCTCTTATTCCAGCCAGAGCCTGTACTTGCGTTAGAGGCATATTATGCTGTGGTACAATCATGAGATATCTGTGTTGAGCTAAGTGATACCGTATTCCCCCATATATCACAAGAATTTACTTGTTATGAGGCCGTGGCTATGGGACAGAATTGTTCAGCAGATCACCCCAAGAGTGCTGAGTCCCAGGCAAAAAATATTGATGTGTGATAGCGGGTTGTGACCTGTGTTTGACTCTTAACTGTTTGTGAATGTAAAGATATAGAAGAAGGCTGTATCTGGGACTCCCTGACTTCCTCCATAATTTAACTCCCCTGGGAAGCACTGGAAGGACAGCAAGGGTTCAGCTTCAGCTCCATACATACTGCAAGTCAGGCAGACTAGAAGAAATGGAGCAAACAGTCATTTCTGTCTTTTGTTTGTATCAAATATTGTGAGAGAAGTTATTCCTACTACAGCTCCAATCTGGCTCTCCCGAGAAGTGCTAGAAATCTTTAACCAATCTGTTGCAGAGTTGTCAACACCGGCTTCTCATTGCATTTGATAACCCAACAGGAATAAAAAACATTAGCAGCTCAGATTACTAATTGAAAGTCAGTCTTCTCTAAACCCCTTCCTGGGACTGACCTGGCCATCAGCCTAGTGAACTCTGGATTGTCATTCCCTCTGGATTCCAAAACTATTTTGGCACCTTTCCCTCCACCAGAATTTGGTTACACTTTTCCTCTGTCACCCTGACCAGCTCTTGTACGGCTCACATGCTGTCCTGCTCTGCTTTGAGATCTAATGGGCCATGATCTGGTAGAGTCCTGTGGGGAAGAGGCAGCATTTTGGGGCATGGAGCATCCTCCTGCAGGCAGGCTGGCAGGCCTGGGATGTTCTGTGTGTTCCTGAGAACCTGCCTGAGCCTCTCTGCCTCCTGCCACCATGCTCCCAAACCAGAGAACACAGCTAAGTAATTCTTGAAGCAATTGTTGAACTGACAACTAAAAGCCTGATAATTGGTTAACAAGCTCTGCATTTATATTCACCCACCAAACCTTGGGGCAAGAGGTGTCAAGTTAGCTGTACCTTACAGCAAATCCCAGAACAAACCTGGCCAAAAAGGCTGATTAGGGAGTTCAAAGAGAGGCTGAAGTGTGAGCTGTCATGAGAGTTAACAGATGTGCCTGTACAAGCCCAGCTATCACCACTGTTTTCTGCAGGAGATCCTTTGGTTTCTATTCTGTTATTTGTGGTGTTCATGCTAGCACATATATTCCAATTCAATGATAACACACTTGCCGCATATAGTTTCTAAATTTGTTTCTTGTTTTGCTGCAATTAAAACATACAGGACTTCAAGAAAGTTAAGGAAGTATCTTAGTATATATATAACCCTGTATAGGATTGAGACCCTTAGTTACACAATTATCATTCAGATAACTGTGAACACAGACTGCTAGGAAAGATCCCAATTAGATTCAGGTGGTGTTCAAATGATACAAAACATTTCAAATAATTTGAAAACTAGCATTCTATTTCCATGCCTTTAAAGTATAAGGAACTATGACTATGAAATTAATATGGAAATTCATGTTTAAGGTAAAACCTAAGCATAATTTAATCATGTCAAATCTAAACTATAAATCTGAACATTCAGCACAGGAATAAAACCAAAAAAAAGAATTTCTCTCATGTGTTTTTTTTTTCTTCCACAGATCTCTCCTTTATGCAACATCAGCTTCAAAAAACTATGACTGATCCACTCAGCCAGGTGCCAAGAAGCTAAGTACACATGTAGTGGCAGGAAAAAAGACAACCTCTTATGGCAGTGTGTTCCAGGAGTTTTGGCTGCTGTTCTGCTGAGATGGGCTGAGTGGACATTGCAATGCAGCTGGTGGTCAAAGCACAGGCAAAACATCTGGAAAGGACACTTTTGGAGGGGTGGGGTAATACTGCTGGAAGCCCTGATATGCCAGAATTTGCCAGCAATTTTGTTGCAGATCTTGACCCAGATCTGTGGGAACCTTGAAATAATGAATGCAAACAACTGGTTTGTGGCTTGAGTTGAGAGAATTCAAACAACTTAGAGTTTGACATGAAAAGTAACTTCAGTATTTCTTTAAGAATGGGTACTTTATTATGTATAATTTCTTGCCTAAAAATGCTGTATGCTATATTCCAGAATAAAAAACACTATTACTTTTTGAAAGGGATGAATTAGCCTAGGATGAAGCTTGGCCCCATGCTGACAATATGTGTACATTTGGCCTGTTGGCAGGTCTCTAGAACAGAATGTGCAGGGAGAAAAGTACTCAACACTGAGAAAGGAATGACTGTAATTCACTTGTAGATGGAAAAGAATATACATATGGCTCAAAAATAACATGTAAATGCAGACTTAAGACTTATGGAGGAAGAGTTTAGGAAAACATGTGACAACCTTGAGTATAATTCAATCCCAGGAGGCATTAATGAATGGCATTTGCCTGTAGCAAATTTAAATGCTGGCCACAGTAACTTCAGACTGTTTGGAAACTATTTTAATTTTTTTTTAAAAAAGCTTTTCAGGAAGGTATTTTAAAGCTTTAAGCACATAATTTAAACCCGAAATTACATCCCTGTCTCAGATAATTTTCTTCCCAACAGGGTATAGATACCACTGCTTCAGTTATTGATCTTGAAAAAACCAATTTCTTAATTTCATTTTTTTTTTCTTCAAAAGTTCCATTTTTCCCCATTTATCTTTTTCAGGGGGGACAAGTGAAAGAATTTTATTTTACTGAGGCCCGAGAAATCTGACAGCCTGTTCTGCAGGCGGAGGTTGTCACAGAATCCATTAGGTTGATAAAGACCTCTGAGATCATCAAATCCGATGTATGACTGAACACCACCGTGTCAACTAAATTATAGCATCAAGTGCCATTTCCAGTCTTTCCTTAAGCACCTCCAGGGACGGTGACTCCCTCCACTCCACTGCTCAGTCCCATGTCTAAACACCCTTTCTATGAAGGAATTCCTTCTGATGTCCAACTCAAACCTCCCCTGGCGTAGCTTAAGACTTTATCCTCTCGTCCTGTCACTGCTTATCCGAGGGGAAAAGCCACCCTCTACCTGGCTACAACCTCCTTTCAGGGACTTGTAGAGAACACTAAGGTCCCTCCTGAGCCTCCTTCTCTCCAGGCTAAACAACTCCCGCTCCCTCAGCCACTCCTCACAGGACTTGTGCTCCAGACCCTTCTCCAGCTTTGTTGCCCTTCTCTGGACACGCTGCAGCACCGCAATGTCGAGCCGGGCGCCCCCGGCCCGCCTGCCGTGCGAGCCCAGCCCAGGCGGCAGGGCCGGCCCGGCGCGCCGCTCCCCCGGCAGGGCGCTCCCGGGGCGAGGCGCAGGCGCGGCGCTTGGCCAAGCGCTCCAGCATGGGCAGCCGGCGGCTGAGCGCGGCGGCGCCGCAGGTGGACGCGGTCCGGCCCCCCAAGCCCGAGAGCGCCTGGAGGCCGCCCCGGCGGGAAGGCTCCGCTGCGGCGCTGGAGGAAGAGGACGAAGACGAGGACGTGGTGGTTGAGGTGGAGGAGGAAGAGGAGGAGGAGGAGGGCGGCCTGGGGAGCGCCCCCCCGGCGCTGGCCGGCCACGGCAAGGGCCCCCTCCGGGGGAGCCTTAAGGTGCGTCCCGGGAGGGAGCGGGCGGGGGCGGTGAGGGGCCCGGGCCGGGCGCGGGGCCGGCGAGGCGGGCCGGCTGGCACCGGCAGGCTGCGGGGGACTCCGACGCCGGGCGGGCCGGCCGGCCCTCCGCGAGTCCCAGGCGAAGCGGGCGGCGGGGACGGCTGGCTAAAAGCGGGCGGGGGGCGTGGGGAGCCAGCGGGGTCTGACGGAGTTTGAGCATCGGGAGTGGAGCCTTGGCTGGGCGAAGCGCGCGGCTGGCGCGGTTGGAGGGATGTTCGCCCGGCCGGGTGCGCAGAGGTGTTGGGAGAGCTGTGCCCGCGGGGCGTGCGAGCTGCCGGGCCCGACAGGGCTCCTGCGAGCGCGGGTGGCCGTGGTCAGGAGGCCTGGGTGGGCGACCTGTGGAAAGTTTAGGAATGCAGCCCTTCTGTGCAGAGGCCCGATTCAAATCCCATCGAAGCGTGCGCGGGCAGTGCGCTGAACTCGGTGCGGTTTGGAACAACCTGATGAACACACCCACTGGCTGAGATCCTGCAGATTTAGGCTTAATGATATTATTATGAAGCGTTTTCTGTAATTATTTTTCTCTTGGGATAACCAGGGTAGTAGGATTAAATCTATGTATAGTAGTACAGAGGATTCGTGTGGTAGATGTGCACCAGTTATGGAAAATAAATGTGTATGAAAGTTTAAAAGGTACCCATTTGAATTGATTTTTATTTTTTCCAATCTAGGTAATAATTCTTACTTAATAAGAGTTCAGGATTGGATAGCTAGGAGTGCTATATTACCACTGGGGTCTTTCCTGTATCCACAGATGTGGGGAAAAAGAAGGAAACTTATCCAAAACAAACAGTGCAGAAAGGAAAATGGCAGCAGAAATGCATGTTATCCACATATTACTTCAGAGCAGTTTTGTTACAGCACTGAGAGAATCAGTCTGACACAGCTGGGTCATTGGACTGTAGCTCGTCACTGAGTCTATCAAATGCCATGAATTGTGGTTATGGTGTCTGGGTCAGACCATCCATGGTACTGAGGCCTGACAGGCTGAAACAACTTTTTTGCAACAGAACCAGCACTTGGCACTTGAGTGATAGCCTTGGGATGAAGAGCACCATGTTGGGCTTCTGGTCCCGTCATTCTCCCCTTAGTAATGAAGGTCTTAAGTGGTAGAGGAGGCTTAGAGGAACTTCCTGGGTGTACTGATAGGAAAAAAGAGTGAAATTCTCAAGTGGAGCACAATGAACTGAAACATAACTGGATTACATAGGTATAATCTGCATATAACATGGGAGTGTACTGTCCTCTTTGTCAACCCTCAACATGCTTTCAAGTAGTAGGACTGGTAGAGGTTGCTGGTATTTCTGCCTTACACCTAGGAGTGTGCATACACACAAAAATATTGTGCTTGCATGTGTTTACTTCCTTGAATAGTGAACCTACCTCATAGGTGAGATTAGTGTAGTAATGCCTGTTGGGCTACATTTAGTGTACATAATAAACTGTCAAGTCACCGTTGATAACCAGGTGCACATATTTACCCTCTTTGCAGGAATGTTTCTAACTGTCATTACCTGCTCAGTTTCTGCTTTCTCTGTTTATACTTTTGAGTATTATAAACTGGGAGGGCTTAAAATTTAACATTGTAAATAAGTTACCTTTGGTTTCTGTGTATTTCTTTAGAGATTGTGACTGTGGGAGTTCTCAAAGCTTATGGGAGGGTTCTTCCAAGTAATTTTAAAGCAACAGATTAAACTTCTCTGCCTTTGGCATTGTGTTTCTGAGTGCTTTTAAGCCTGAAATGACTGAACTGCAAAGGTGCTTCCCCAAAATAGCTCTGGCTATATGGCCCTGAGTGTGTCGGAAGGTGGGTTTTCCAAGCAGGTTGTGTTTCTATTAATGAGAGAAGCAGACATAAAATGGATACTGAGGTCCAACTGCAAAGCATTGGGAGAGTAATAGGACTGGCACAGTCTGGTTGTGGTTTGTCAGCTGGAATTCCTTGCAAATGGAGAAGTGGCACAGAGTCAGCAGCATTTGACTTCCAGACACAGACTTCTGAACTGGGGACTGGGAGCAAAGTATATTGAAAAGGTGTCCACTCCTGAGAAACAGCATCAATTGTTGCATTGACCAATACCTTCATAATAAGAGAAATCCTAAAGAGCTTCAGAATTTATTTGGACTTGAAAGCAACACGATCTGGGTTTTGCAGTGTGTGCTATCTGGATAATGCAGTGAAAAGCATCACACGGTGTTCTGGTGTGTATTCACATGTACACTTGATGTCTGTGTGGAACGGCATTTCAAAACTAGAGGTTTTGGGGGTTCGTGACAAAGTCACTTCTATGGACTGCCCATGATGCATGGATGAAAGCATCATAGGGTCAGCAATGGAATTAATATTGTTAAAAGGTGCCTGAGAATTTGGTCCACTAGTCAAAATCAGCAAAGTACTGGCACTATCAGGTCTTACAGTCTCTGCTCCAGATCTTTCTGGAGTCCAGAGTTCAGATCTTTCTGGAGTCCACTGTGTGGCTGTGCCTTTGGTAGTCTAGTTTTGACCTCACTCTTAAGCATGGGGATAGAGAGGATGAAGTACCTTATAAATCTAAATATTATTTCTCCAGTTTCTGAAGTTGTGGAAAGAGAGAACATATATGGCAAAAAAGGGAGACTGGTGGTCATGGGGAAGATAAATTGTGTCTGTATGTTGCTGTGTATGTAGCTGTGTAGCTCTCCAGGAGGAGAACACTGGAGAACGTTTTTGTTGCTTGTTCTCCCCTGCTATGCTACCTTGCTGGAAGCAGCACAAGTATGCTCTGTGTTGCTGGTGGGTAATGGCAGAATAAGCAGAGAGTCTTGGAGAGCCTGTAAAGCCTTGTTGAGAAGTGCTGTGGTTTTTTACTTTATCAGAACTAGTTAATTAATCTCTATATGGAAACTAATTACACCAAGGTGCTGATTTATGCAGACTCATTTTGCACATGAAACTCTTTTTGTGCAGCCCATATTTGCTTTGGCTGCATTTGGATTTTCAGTCATTTAAAATGAGATGAAAAAGTATAAATGGTGTAATTGCTAGTACTTTGTCTTGAAGCGTGGGTTAATTTGCAGTCCTGTTTAATTAATCTTTTGTATGCAGCCTAGTTCAGATATCACAGCCATGTCAGTACCATGCTGGGTTGATGTAGTCTCTGGAAACTGCTGAGTTTGATGATGGGGAAAGGACTTTTGAAGTAGGGTCCACCAGCAGTCTCCAATGCTGACTTTATCAGATACTTGGAAGAAAACCCCACTGCAAGTAGCAGAATTATGCTAATTTGTCTGTAAACTATCAGAGTGCTATGATTGAGAACGTGGGCTAGTAGTGAACATGGGCTTGTGACAACATGCCAGCATGTTGCAATGTTTTCTCTGCTGGTATGAAAAGTAAAGGGGTTGGTGCTTTCTTCTGTTCAGCCCAGTTGAGTTCCCAGTTTCTGTCCCCAGGCTGAGAGTTTGGACCCAGGACATTCCTAATCCAGCTGATTATGGATGCTGCACCTATTCCTCACCCATGGAACTAACTGTTACAGATACTGGCTTGTTTGTGAGCACCTCTTCGTAGTTCAGAAGGATGAATTTCCCACAAGTGGATTTGGTCCTACAAATACATAGCTCCCCAAATTGTGGAAAATGATCATATAAAGAGTCTGAAAACTAAAGGCCCAGAGAGCTGTGCAGTGATGGTAGAGGAATACAAAAGCCCAAGCAGTGTAAACAAGACTTTGACTTCGTGCTTACACTTTACCATTGGGCTCAGTTTCACCCACCTTGTGAAGTGCAATTTATGACAGGTGCAAAGTAAGGAGCATGTACAAGTCTGATCCAGAAGTTTCAGAGTGGAGATGGCACACATTGGTAGGAGTTAATGAAAAATTATACTTTTGGACACAGCTTTTGTGGTTTGCTGTGTTTTGGGTTGATTTTTTCATATTTTTTTGTTTTTTTTTTGTTTTTTAAAGATAAAGACATCTGTGTGATATATGGGATGCAGAAGAATCTTTAGAGCTTGTGTGGAGGAAATCAGTTGCCTTTTAGTTGTGTTGTTCAGCTGCGTTGAATTCACTCTCTTCTCTTTTGCTCCTTCTTTCTAAAGCCAGGTGTGAATTCATTGCTGTCCTTTAGATCAGACTTTCAGCTTTGCTGTTTCAATGGGCTGTATACTCATTGTGGACAAAAAAAGTGGGTTTTCCTGCTTGATTAGCAAATGTTATTTAATTTAGCTTTCATGTGTGTGTGTAAATGTATTTTCAGAGGCAATTTGCAAAATACAAGCTTCAAATACCAGATTTGTTAGTGGAGGAGAGACCTTGCAAGATGTATTAGGAACTTAAGAGGAAAATAAAATGTTCCCTTTCAGACTAATAATGATAATGTTATTTTTATAAATACTGCTAATTATTAGAACACCAGAACTCATGTCCTGAACATGGAGCCTGTTAGGCTAGGCTGTGTACAAACTCAGAACAAGCATGATCCTGGTCTGTCCAATTCTACAAAGAGCAATATGAGATATGAATAGACACTTATGGACTGTGAGGAACAATTAAAGGGTGAGATGAGAGAGGCAGATAAACACCAGCAGCTTAGCCATATTTTTGTGAGTAGATAAAGTTAATTAATGTTTAAATTTCAAACTTTGTTCGGTTTCTTGTTGTTCTTGAGTGAAGAACTGTCTAGTGAAGTTGATGTGGAAAATTCATGGCTAGACTTGGGATTTTTTTTTTCTTACTTTTGACAAAATTTTAAAGTTTATACATAATACAGAGTACTGGAGGCAGACCTGGGGGTGGTGAGAAAATAAGATAGTATTTTTTTCTCCACTTTCCCCTAATAAAGGGACTAATGGGACTAATTTGCTGGGGATGTTTTAATATAATTTTGTTGCTGTTTGAACACAGACCAAACAAAACCACTTGGCCTCTGAAAGGAATTGTATTAGAAAACTGTAACTA